AATCGGAAACGGAATCGGAAACGGAATCGGAAACGGAATCGGAAACGGAATCGGAAACTGACATGGAAATTGACCTGGACACTTTTGACATGAATATGAACCTGAACACTTTTGGAAGGGAAAATATTTTTGTTTCTGAAATACCATTCGTGTTTTTTAACGGTCCTGCAAATATATCCATTACACAGATGTTAATTGAGGATGGTGGTTCTCTGCTAAATGCAAAAGATAACTATGGTAGAACCCCAATGTTCTATGCATTGATAACGTCACTTGAAACAGCAAGTCTCTTGATTGACAAAGGAGCAAATCTTAAAGCGAGAGACAATTGCAATGTCAGCATTATTGCTTTCTTCGTTGAACACTGTTTACGAAAAGGAAATGACATGTCCGAAGGGCTCGATCTGCTCAGAGAAAATGGTATCCAACCAGAGACTATCTTCGAGAGTTTGGTCAGTGTGGTGTTTTGTAGTAGCTTAAAACTACGTATAAGCACTCGTTTCGGTAAATTTCAAATGGAATCGCTGTCTGATGCTTTGGAGACAGCCAAATATTACATGGAAGAAGAGGACCCTAGACAGCCAATCCTTAATGGGATTTTGACGACAATGGAGAATTACAAGAGCGAAAAAGATATCTATGAAAACGTGGTGTCCAAAATTCTTGCCCCACTTGTAGAACTAGGTGCTGATCCAAACACTGCTGACTCACAAGGGAATACAGCTCTTCACTATGCAACTCGTTTGATATTCGAGAATGTGTCACAAGAGACGGTAAATGACATATGTCGGAGTCTAAAAGAAGTCGATGCTTCATTTAACGCAAAAAATCACCAAAGAGAAACTCCCGCTTTGTTTTGTTTGTCTGAGAAGTTTCTCCATGGCATAAATGGTATAAATACAAAATTTGATTTAGTATTTACACAAGTTTACGGGAATCTGATTGAAAAGGGATCAAGTGTAGATGACATCGAAAAAGGTGGAAATTCCCTTTTTCATTTGATCTTGATTCTCTTTGAACGAGTTCTTTATTTTCGCACGAAAACGAGTGAGAGGGGAAAAGTCTTGGGCGAAGTTGCAGACCTTTTACAGTTGTGCTGTGAGGCAGATACAGCAGCACATGTAACTATCAACAGGAGAGACGCCCATCTCAATTCACCACTCCATCTCTGGTCGGAATTGAAATGTATCGAACTTTCTCAAGAGAATGATTGGCAATATCTAAGAAAAATTTTGAACCTCTTATTAAAGTGTGGAGCTAGATTAAATACCAGAAATGAAAATGATGAAACACCTTTACATTTGTGTACAACATGGCGTGCAGCCAAACTTTTGTTAGAAGAAGGTGCAAATCCAAACGATGTGGATTCCTCTGGACACACGCCTCTACTCTCCGCTGCATTGAGATTCAAACAAAGAACTACATACAGTAATCATTTCCTTGAAGCGTTTTATGAAGACGTATCCAAACGTCTGTCAAAGGATTCCCGCTCTGGATACAGACGTGCACTCTCCGCTGCCTTGAGATTTAAACAAAAAAATCAAACTAAAAACGATAATCATATCCTTGAAGCGTTTTATGAAGACGTATCCATAAGCCCAAATACGTTTTGGGAAGCAGTTTTCGAGAAACATCTTGATCCATGGGTTGCAGATAAGCATGGACAATCTGTCTTGGGAGTTCTTGTTGAATCGGAGGCCTTTGTTCTTGCAAAGACCTTTCTGGAAACTGCTGTAAAAATGAAGCTGCTTGAGTCGGATACAATCGCAGTTTCTGTTTTGAAAGTCATTTGCAAAGACAGATCGAAAAGAGCTCTATGGAAGATGAACCTTGTTGAAATAATTCTCAAGGCAAGAGAGAATCCTAACAGGTCCCTACGATGTGATGGAGAGACTCCACTTCACTATTGCTGTAGAAATATAATAGATGTTTTCAATGATGTTTCTCAAACGGCTAGTGATTACAATCATTCATCACTGGCCGGAGAAGACTCTGCCGAGGATGAAACAACATCTGTGCACTGGATCATCGCCAAACGCCTTCTTTGGTATGGAGCTGACTGTACGATTCCTGATTCTATTGGCCAATCTTGTCTGGATATAGCAGAGGCATGTCCTGCACTGAAAAAACTTCTGAGCAGTCCGATAGAAATGGACTAAACCCCTTGACTCATTCCTTGGACTTCCGTTTCGAGGAGGTACAAGCCAGTTCTTGCTAAAATTGCCAGGCGACAGGAATGTGAGAACGTTCAACAGTATTTGGTATCATCAAAAACAATTAGCAAGTGGTTCTTTCGGATTTGTTTTTGCGGGAATTAACGAGAAAGACGGCAGAGAAGTGGCAATCAAGCGAATAAAAAAACCGTGGCTTATTCGGCCACAAAATAAACGAGAAATAAAAAATCTCACTGCTGCCGTAGGTTGTGAACAGGTAGTTCGTTATCTTTCGTTTTTTGGAGGAGAAAAACCTTTGCTATGTGGTTTCAGAATCGATGGAGGGAACTCTGGACGAGTACTTCGAAAGTCCTAGGTTTGATTTAAAGGATAGTGTGCAACTTTGTCAAGATGTCTTACAGGGACTGAACTTTTTGCATTTACATAACATTCTTCACCGGGATCTCAAACCAAGTAATATTTTATATAAATGGTATCCCAAGCTTTGTTTGAAGATTGCTGACTTTGGTCTAAGCTGCCTTATCGAATATAACTCTACTACAGTGTTTGGTACCACTGCTGGAAGAAGATATTGGATTGCTCCAGAAGTGTTGGTAAAAGATCGACACTCTAAAGCATCGGACATGTATTCCTGTGGTCTTCTTCTTCATTACATTTTGTCAGCAAACAAGCACCTGTTTTCTTTAAAGGATGGCGCTAATAAAGATGAATTGCAGTTTGGTGACGAAACTGAAACAAACCTACTTCATGGCTATTTCAAAGGAAGGGACTACTCTCTTAGTCCTGAAGGTGCTAACCTCGTGGTGCAACTACTTAAATACGAAGCAAGGAATCGACCAACTGCTGCAGAATCATTGGCTCACTCCTTATTTTGTACATTAACGAAAAAATAAAACAGATGGATCTTCTAATTCTCGCTGCTCACTGCTGTTGGCAATCGACCAAGCTTGCGTGTAATGTTTTCCCATTTCAGACCCCGTGTCATTCCCTAGAGTACCATTTCCTTGTTTAACGGCCGTGCATGCGAAAACAAATGAATATCAATAGGACTCAAACAAATAATCTTATTATCAAGAGAATGACACGTCGTCTGAAATGGGAAGACATTACGCCCAAGTCGAAAAGGCCACATGCTTGCTATTTATACTTAAAGTGCCTATGCCACCTAACTTAATATTTTCAGTATTGCTTCTACATAAAGTGAATAGTTAAAATGGTAAAAGAATTTCATATGGTTTGAGTGATGCATCTTGGAGATATCAAGATTATACTTCCAATTTGTTAATGAGTGTGATGTCGTTATAGGAATTTAAATTTGCTTCTCTTCGTTTTTAAATTGCAACACTTATTACTATGAGAAAACAAATTTGCTATCAATTTYCTATAAACCCTGAGTAAGGCAATGACGTTATATACGGGATATTTTGCTGCCCTAGAAAAGTTTTGTATATTTAATCATGCCTATAATGACATCACACTCATTAGTATATTAGAAATATGGTGCGGTTCATACGAAATGTTTACGCACACATCTCTGAAAGTACTCAACCAACACCAAACAGAAAATAGTTGTTGGACCCAAAGATTTTGTGTTCTTGGAACATTTTCCAAATCTTCTGAAGGGAAGGCTGTAACCACTAATGAATTCCTAATGAATAGTATCAGACAAGAAAAGAGCAAATGCATGCCGTCACGAAAAAATAAGAATTTAAGTAACATATATGTGTTTTACAATAATCATTTGATATTTCTACTAAGTATTTGTCTATTCCAGGATGAGCACCATGATAATGGGTCTGCTAATATGAGGATTTTTTTCCAATTTTGTTTTTTTAACGTGTTATTTTTCAAATTTGATTAATCATGTCTTGATTGGCTCACACAGCACACTCGAATTCACACGAATTTGATGAACACAAGGGCTAAAGAAATTGCTGGCCTCGAAAATTTCTCAATTAATCAAGCACAGGTTCGAACGCTTTATTATAATGTATCAATAAAACAAAATAGATAAATAAATAAAAAACCTATAGCCATGGACAAGTTTTGAATTTACAACTATTGTAGCTACAACAACAACAACGACAACAACGACAACAACAACGACAACAACAACAACAACAACAACAACAACAACAAAACAAAAAAAAAAGAATAAAGGCCAAAAATACGACCCAATATTCTGCAATATTAAATGGGAATTTTTTCCAATTTTTTTTCCATTACTTAAAAGTGAATTATCAGCAGCTTTGGATAAAATTAGGGACTCATCACTTATATATTGGCTACTTGTTCACTACGTTATGAACTAAAACGTTTTGTTTCCACTGAGGAGAAGGTGCTGCCTTTGTAATAATCCCTAAGTAGTGTGCAGAATGTTCTTGGACGGGCGGATCAGGGCTGATCGCGAATCAGCCCTAGAGATGACGTCATCACACTAGGAGTAGTTAGGTCAGAGCCTTAAGCGTAACGTCATAGGATTTAAGAACCAATCAGAAGCCATTCCGATAACGAAAGCAACTCCGGAGCAATTTCCCAGACCTCCCGCCCTACCTCCGGGAATCTGGACAGTTCATATCTATTTTTAGAACAGCCCAAAGTGAGATGTCATAGGATATTGGAAATCCCCGATCTCCCCGAACCCCTCCAGATAACTGGATAGATCATATCTATTTTTAGAAGTTAATCTTTCCAAACTTCGCTCTGAGGTATCTGAATAGGTCATATCTATTGTTATATTTTTTCCAATATTCTGAGTTTATCCGATAATTTGTTTCTTTTTTTTTTTTTGATTTTCTGTTTTCGAAAGTGGTTATGTTATCGATCTTTAATAAACGATCCTATTAGTCTATATTTTATCTGCAATTTCATCTTTCTCTAATTTTTGAATCCCAATCGAATTTTGCTCATCAGGATTACTTTTAAACTGGCGTCATTAAAACTTTGCCATCCAAAATCGCATACAAGTTGTAATTGTTATAAATGACTATAAAAAAAAATAAGAAAAAACGTACTCGAGCATAAGGATAAAAAAGCAAAACACTACCATTAAAATATATGAAAAATTCCAATAAAATTATCGGTCAAGTAAGCGAAAATAGATCGATTTGAGCAAAATTTGCTCTGAGTCTGCAGTTGGCCTATGTTACTGTTTTTATGAATTATATGCTGCTACTGACTATTTTATTTCGTTTTTGAATAAAAAGGTATATAAATTTTGCTCGATTAAAAGAAATAGATAGTAGCTTATCTGTTAACCAGATGGAACACCGCAGGATGACAAAACCATCACCTTTGCATAATATCATTTCGTGAGATGCTTGAACGCTTAGTCACTCCCGCGCCCGCTCGAGTCTAGTTCCACTCCCTCTCGTCTTTCTAGTAAACAAAATGGCGGCAATGAACGATGATTCTACTGACACAGAAACATTGCTTCGTGATGTCCAAGAGGAATCCATCTGCCCTATTTGTTCCAGGCCTTTCAAAAATCCTAAAATACTGCCTTGTCTACATTCGTTTTGTGCTGAGTGTGTTCGAGATTTAGTCCGTAATCGCCAAGGGAAGGATTTTCTTCAGTGTCCAAAATGCCCTAAGGGAGTCGAGCTTCCCGAACCTTATACTCCTGAGACGCTGCCACCATCCTTATATCATAGACGTTTATTGGATTTACGACTGTTGGAAAACCCACAAGATTCGTCGGCAAGCTGCGGAAGCTGTAACAAGGGTTCGTCTGTCGTGAGCTATTGTTTCCACTGCGGGGAATTTTTGTGTACGGAGTGCCTCAAGGCTCATTCTTTGGTAAAGATTTTAAAGGAGCATAGAGTTGTTCGCTTGGATAATTTTCAACCCAAAGACGTGAGGAGTTTATTACGAAAGCCGCTTACTTGTGGCAAACAGAGCCACGAGGAACAGGCGTTCGAATTCCTATGTAACGACTGTAACACATGTATATGCCATAAATGTGTACTTTCAATGCACCAAGGGCATTCCTCAACATCGCTCGGCCAAGCTTCGGAAACTCGTAAGCCCTTGCTATCCGAAGGTATAAAGAAGCTAAAATCTAGGATTCCTATTTGTGAGCGTCAAGTTAAAAGAGCAAATGATGCAGCAATGTTGCTAGAAAGAAATTTAAATACGGTGAGACTGCAGATTAAAAAGAGAATTGAATCTCTAATCGAGATATTAAAAAATCATGAACTACAGATGATGGTGAAGCTTGATAATATTTACAAAGAACACAGCCGTAAATTTTCCTCACAAAGAAAGACATTTGAAAATAAAATGAACCAATTAAATGAATGTATAGAATTCTCTCATTCAGTTCTTCAGAGGAATCTAGATTCAGAGATTTTACAAACATTTCCATTTGTGACGAGAAGGTGTGACGAATTGGAAAAAGTCACGCAAGAGACCTCGATGAAAACACCGGAAGTTGTCACGATTTCTTATGTTACTGATAAGAGCGTGGACGAGACTATTCAGAAAAGTATACTAGGCAGAGTCCATGTGAGTCCTACTGATATACAGAGTTCTACAGTCGAGGGAAAGGGTTTACATGAGGGTCACCCAAACCACCAATCACAGTTTACTGTCGTGACAGGAAGTACGTCTGGAAGAATGTGTCACGCTAAAGGCGACAACGTGACAGTCAAAGTTAGTGACCCAAGAAATGTTTTTATTAATGCTGATATTGATGACCGCAAAGATGGCCGGTACATTGTGAGTTTTACTCCACAGTTAATCGGAAGCCACGATATCACCGTGTTAATAAATGACAAGAACGTGAAGGGAAGTCCATTCCTGCTCCAAGTCGGCGAACGCTACAAACTCTTGGATATCTTTGGATCTGGCGGGAACGAACAGCTTTTTCAACAACCCCGCGCCGTAGCAACGAACGGCTGCGGTGAGCTTGCGGTTGCGGACAGCGGTAACCATAGAATTCAACTTTTTGACTGCCATGGAAAACAACCTAAATTTATCCGCCAGTTTGGTTCAGCGGGTAACCAAAAAGGTGGCATGCGCTGGCCCTCGGGGGTAACCTTCGACTCAGAAAACAACCTCCTAGTGTCGGATACTGAAAATAATCGTATACAAATATACTCTAAAGAAAAGGAAATCATCTTGGGTTTTGGTCAAGACGAAGTTGAACACCCTCAAGGTATATGTGTCACAGAGAGAGGTAACATCGCTGTTTGTAGCGGTGGACAATCACCCGGAGTAAAGCTTTTCTCGGATAATGGCAAGTTCATTCGGCAATTCAACAACACCGAGAATGGCCGGTTTCCGGCTTATATAACTTACGACCGCGGACGGTTTTTCGTGTCGTACGCTGATGGGAGCGTTGTCAAGGTATTTGACGATAATGGATCGTTTTTGTATAATATTGGATTGAAAGAAAGCGACCCTCATGTTGAGCTTCGACCGCGTGGCCTTACCATCGATAGTGACAATAACTTACTTGTTAGCGACTGTAAAGGTCTTGGTATTCAGATTTATTCTCTGGATGGGAAGTTTCTGAGTACGTTTGGTGAAGAACAGGAGAAGTTTGGTTTATGTCGTTATGTTGATGTTGCGGTTACTAATGATGGGAGGCTTTTTGTTTTGCAGGATTATGGTTTCAGTAACAGAATACGAATCTTTCATTAACATACGCMCAGATCACGTTTTTCTGCTGAAAATATCGCGGTTGCCATGACATCAGCCATTAAGCTTCTATCAATGAAAACGCATGAATTAATGGTAGCGGTGCTGTATTAACAAAATATTAGAAGATCTCTCGCATCCTGAGATTTTTTTTTCATTATTCAGATCTAGAACTGCGATAAGGCATGAACGTAAAAATGAAATTTGACGGTTACTGAATTTGGAATCTAAAAGGCTATTGTCATAATATGTTGCAACGCATCAAGCTGCAATTAATGCTTACAAGAAACTCGCAAAATCTTGGTTTAAAATAATTCGCTATATACCGCTACTGATTTGCATGATTTGATGATGGCATATAATTTACTACTTCTATGTGAATCGTAAATGTATAGCTAGGTTAGCACGTTTACTGCACAATTTGATGGAGGTTTTGCCATTTTTTTCAAATGAATTTTATCAGTTAATAGGAATGTCAGAAATGAGAAAACTATAGTTAAGTTTATATCATTAACAAAAATATATTTTTTGAAAATAAATCGTTGAACAAATATATGCAAATACTGCTTTTTGCATATTTAAGGAGTTATCGTTGAATACAAAGGTTATCCAAAGAAAGGGTATATTTCATATTTCATTTATTAAGTGCATACGAGTGGTGATAACTAGTAGAACTAGCGTGGACTGCGTCGGTGTTTCTGAATAGAACAGTAGGAACTTGTAGATAAATTGGATCACCGTGAAAAGCTTTGTAACACTGACATTTCGGACGTTATTCCTTCGTCGGAGTAAGTGAATAATAGTATTAAGTGCATATACTATTAACTAATGCTTGATCGAAAGAAATCACTCGATCTCAGTCCCAGTACAAGGCTCCGCCCGACCTATAAGACAAGCGATTTGACTTCTTCGTATTCAAGACATCAATAAGCTTGCTATGTAGGAAAAAAATCAGAGGCCAAGGAGAGAGAGGTATTAAGAGGGCGTCTCTGTAACAGCGTGCCACTCGATCTGGGCTCGAAAAATAGATTTCTTTTATATTCCTACCATCGAAAGTACTATCTATCCTCACTACAAAATTGCACTTAGAATTGTTCTAAATTCTTTTTTCCACCCGCTATGCGAATTTTTGTCCATCGACCCCAAATCAGTGAAAGACGCCGATTTTCGAGGTCGG